ATTTATGACATTGTAAATCAAAATCAAAGAAGATACCAGGCTATGGAAGATTTTCCAGATAGCATTGTACTGCAATAAAATTGTACAGTTACATCCATGGAATAGAACATATGACCAGGATACCAACTGGAAAAATCTGCTTTGTATTGTTTGTTTTAGAGATTTTGTTTCAATTACCATATTTATCCCTTCCATTTCCTCCTTCTAAAACATTCCATATTCCCCTCTCTGATCTCCTTCAAATTAATGATCCATTTTTTTCATCAACTGTAACTATGTACATGAATGTATTTGTAAATACAAATGTATTTGTAAATGTTATTTGTTGTTCTGCATAGTCTTATGTCAAATTGACACAAGCTAAAGAGTGAACTGTAATTGAAAAAATGTCTCCACATGACCAGACCGTAGGGCATTTTCTTTATTAGGGATTGATACACAGGGGCCAGCCCCTGGTGTGTGTGGGGGTATCCCTGGACTGGTGTTCCCTGATTCTATAAAAAAAAAGCAGGATGAAGTAGAGCCATCTCTTCCACTTTTAGCCAGTTGTTTCTACCACTTTGTAAGAACTCAGGTCTGTTGAGAATTGGCATGTTTGTCGGGGTCCTTGTTCAGCTCATGTTTGGGCAGTCAAGCTGGTGAGACATTATGGATGTCATTTTGACATTACTAGGAGACACTATCTTACACAAAAGACCCTAATCATCTGGCTCTAACATCACTGTCCTCTCTTCTGCAAAGTTCCCTGAGCATGAAATACAGGAGTGCTTTGCAATGTATCCATTGGGACTGGGATCAACTCCTCTGCATATTAATTAATTATGTTTTCTGTATTACAATGGTAAGTTTCCTTCCAGGTAAATGATGATTACAATTATCTGTAGGCATAAAAACAAGTGTTTATACACTGTTTTAGGGACTATACAGTTTTAGCTATTTGGTAGTTGTAGATTCTCCTCAAATGAACAAAATATCACTATCAGTGATTACTTAGCTAGGTTTCCAGAGCGAGGCATGAATCCATTTTGCTGAATGGGTTGTAAGTCCACTTAGAGAGCTTTTGCTTACCAGCAACATGTGTGTGCCAATAATCACCTATAGGATTGTTGGGACGTGCTGATCATTGATTTGGTTCATAGGAATCATAGCTAGGTGGGACTTTTGTTTTCCCAACACCTTTGTAATCTTTCATGGAACCTTCTGATGACATTAAATGTAGTCTTCAGAGAGGGGTCATTCAGATAAATTTCATATCAGTGGCATTTGTTCATTTTTCTGTAATCTATGACTTCTTCAGCAATAGGGAATTAAATTCAGCATATGGGCATGGCAGAACAGTGGTAACAAGAAACACTGGCAGTAGGCTTGTATGTTATAGGAGTTTTGGTGACAGTCCTGACTAACAATTCAACAGGGTTTGGGATTTGTGGTAAGAGGCCTATGGCTCTTAGGGAAGGAATTGTCATCCCTGATGATAAAAGATTGTTACAACTACATACACGAGAATACTTATTTCTTTTCTTTACTTTCCCAAGTTCCAGTCCCCTAATCTCATTACCAGATAAGTAGCAGAACACCTGTGACAGCCTTGCTTGAACCACTATTTTCCTGTGCATCTAAAGGGTCTTCCCTGCTATTGGATAATCTTACTGTACATTGTAAAGATATGTTGATCCAATTGTTAATGAAAAGATGATTGTTCACTGGCTAGGCAGGATTTTGGAGGCAAAGAGAACGCTAAGGAGAAGGGTAGAGTCTGAGGAAACATGAATAGGAATGTAAATGTTTCCATGAGTTAAAAGAGCCTAGGGGCAGAATATAGATTAATAGAAATGGGTTAATTCTTTGCCAAGGTGTCTTCTGATTGGTTTAATAAAAAGCTGACAGGCCCATAGTTAAATAGGAAAAGGTTAGTCAGGAGAGCCAGACCCAGCAGATGCTGGGAAGAAGAAAGGTGGTGTCATAGGAATCAACAGCTGGAAAGACACAGAATAAGTGGGAAATGAATTGTTACTTCCATGTGGCAGAGTGTGAATATGAAATATGAGTTAATTTATGTTTTACAAGCAGATTAGTAACAAGCCTACACTATTGGCCAAGCATTCATAAATAATAGTAAGTCTCTAGTTTGTTATTTGGGAACTGGCCAGTAGTCCCAATGGAAGACTCGCCTACAAATGACAAACAACATCTAACACACACATCTGCACAGATGTAACAATGCTTAATAAGTACAAAATTGCAAAATACAAAAATAGAACAAAACACGGTTTCCTAGTCTCATTGTTTCATGCTAGCCTCAATGCAGAGAAGCATCTCCTAACTATTGCCTGAGTACATGAGCATCAGCATGAGCCCCACCAACATGCCATGAGCTAAGCTGCATGGAAGGTTTAAGATTTTGCTAATGCAAACAGAAAAGTTTTCAGATATGTAGTAAATACAGTTCCAAAGGAATAAAAAGAACTCTAAACAGTTTATACTGTGTTAGAAAGTGTACATAGGTTTGAAAGAGAAAATAGACAGGATATAGACTGTCATAGAAAAAAAGTAATCTATAAATAATAAAGCATTTAAATTGAAAAGAAAAAAATTAAAAATTAAACCATGTATAAATGGAAAATGTATGGGAAATCTGGATGCTGTATGTTATTATATTGTTTGAATTTTTTGTTCCTATGAATGAATGATAGTGTGTAAGACATATTGGATTATGGAAGCTGATAGATTAAACCAATCTATATATTTTTAAAATGATGTGTTGCTTTGGGGAACAGGTTATGCTTTTGTTCCCATAAAAAACAAATGTCTGTGGATTCATTCAGGGTTGAAGAAGATCAAGTTTGTTTGCAGAAGATTCCCTGAAAATTCCAGCTACAGACATAAAGAAATGAACCTAAGAAAAACTACAAACCTTCTAACACATATGTTAGCTGCTGAAACATTAAATTAGCAAATTATCTTTGGCTGACTTGTGTACAACCCCTAGTCTATACTTGTATTAATGTAGATACTTATGTTACCTTAAAATTTATGTATTTTCAGATCAAGAGGGTCAAACACCAGTAAAAACAAATGACCCAGTTGATAAAACATCTCAAAATGCCTCTGTTGCAGTTCAGAGTTTTAAATCCAGGATAACTTGAAGGCTGCTGGATGAGATTGTCTAGCCTCACAGATTACTTCATTCAAGTATTAACATTTATCCTCAGTTTTCTCAGGGTCTCCTAAAGATTCCAATGACCCCAGTCAATAAGAAGCAGTCTAAAGAAAACAATGCCAACATTCCCAAAGGATGGATTAAGAGTGGCTGTCTTTGCTTAAGGAGGTATATAACAATTATTTATTAGTCATGGTAAAAGCAACAACTACAACAAAAACTCCAGGTAAGCAAAAGCATTGTATTAAAAGATCTCTTTCTAAAAGAAAAAAAGGGAGATTAATAAAGAAATGATGATATAAAAGGGTTGATTATTCATTGTACTTTAACTATGAATCTAAAATATTTTTCATTGGTATTCATTTTGTTTATATTGATAAAATTTCAAAGTTATTTTTGTTAAGTTCCTACACTTGTTTGTTATGTTATGCATATACAGCTCATTTAAAAATGTATTATTTAATTAAGAAATACAGGTCAATAATCATCTATAATACAATTATAAACATGTATGTTTTCAATTTTAAAAAGATATATTTCAATAGATGGTCTTCAAACACTTCAAAGATGAATAGAATATGGCATTTGAAATGTTTTAACAGCATAAGGCTTTTCTTGACAGTGAAATATTTCTGCTCCTGGCAGAACCAATTTACTTTAGAGAAGGTGATAGGCAACAAAGGAACTCCATATGAAGTGTACTTTCTTCATGGTAAAAGCTATCCACTTAGCAAAGAAACTTCCCTTTCCTCAATTTTCAACAATATAATGTACAAACTGGACAGGCAGGATGAAAACAAAAATACTTTGAAAACTGTCTGCCAAACTTGCTAAGACAAGATGGGACAAAATTCGTCACTGTGCAGAAAATTCTGTCAGAAATAATAGGCCGGTAGGTAAAGATGGATGCCCCAATGTTACAGAACTAATTTGGATGACTGTCAAAGCAGTCAGAATTCCCTGTATTTAGGTAAAATTACACTCTTCTCGGGTCTTTGATGGAGTTAAAGAAAAATAATTAAACTTTTAATTTTGCTTACTTATGATAAAAAGTAAATTATGTATAAAACTTTAGATTCACAAAGATAAAATAGATATTTTCTCCAATTTTGCCAAATATAAATTGACTGGATATTGTAACAGTAATTCTTAGTTGATAACTCCTTTGCTGTAAATATTTTTACTAAGTTAAACGTAAAACACTTTTTGAAATTAAACAAGGGATAAATGTTATGGGATAATCTTTTCGTACAGTGTGAGGTGTTATCAATGCCAAGGTACCTTCTGATTGGTTTAATAAAAGGCTGACTAACGAATAGTTAAGCAGGAAGATTTTAGGAAGGAGAGCAAAACTGAGAGGATACTGGGAAGCAGGAGCATGGGGCTACAGGAATTTCCAGAAAATGGGAGAAGAGGTAGGAGATGAACATGCTGGTTTGAAAAAAAAAGTACCTCCACTTGCCAGAGTGTAGCTAAGAATTACAAGTTAATTTAAGTTATAAGAGCTACCTATAAAACGAGTCTAATTTATTGATTTATAGTGGATTACAACTCTGTGTGGTTATTTGGGTAATGGCTGGCAGAACAGAAAAGTCTGCTACACTTCCCCTTCTAATCTCCTTAACCATAGTGTTCACTTATTTTAACTTCCAACTCCAGCAGGTACCCTCTGCTATCATACAGGACATATCTCCATGAAAACCAGGAAGGCTACGTCCAGATATACTTTTATCCCTCTGCTTAGCCAGATTCAGTACCCAGGTATCATCCTCAGTTCTATAGCAGAAAAATCTGCTGGAATCTCCTATTGCTGTCTGACCCCACAATGGATACATTCCACATTCCAGGCTCCAACACCAACACCACCTGGCGTTCACTGGGCACACACCATCTTAGCAGATCAGGGAAACAGGTAAGGCAACAGAAGACATTCAAGACTTCTTTCTCCCCTCTAAGCCTAATGACCTAGTCTTATCTTTACTGCTGCAAGAGGACACCAGCTGCAGCTTTCCTTTCTCCTGCCCCCATCACCTGTGGTTTCTACAGACCATTACCTCCTAACCTCCTTTACTCCATTTGCTGCTGTATACCAGCTTCCAACTATTGCAGGCAACTCCTGCTAACCCAAGGACTGTTCCTGACAATTCACCAGTTAGAAGATCCATGTGTCTCCTTTACTCCTCCAGATCCAATTTCACCATTCTCATCCACAATTTTATAATAGAAAACCTGATACAGTTTCCTGTTCCTCTCTGATCCCATCCCCAATGTCCCACAAAAAAAATTCACCTCACACATTGGGAGTGGGAACTTGCAATACCTCACCAATAGAAAGGACAACTAGACAAAACTAAACAGGTAAATGTTAGCGCTAACTGGTTTTATAAACCAAATGAGCATAAAAGGTATTTACAAAACATTTTACTCAAACATAAAGAATACACCTTCTTCTGTGTATGCTGTGGAATGCTGCAAAATTAACCACATACTCATAAACAAATCCCTTAAATTTTTCGTACTGTCTTCCCATTGCCTGAACTTCCTGAGAATTCCTTGGAAGCAAAAAGTAACATACTTATTTTCATTGTGGGTTAATGTTTTAACAAGAATCATTGGTAATGATGATCAAAAGTATTATTACTTGTTAATTAAAACATGATAAGGTTGGGAATGCCATAGTGCTAGGATATCACTAGCATTATCCTGAAAGATAAAACATGGAGCTAAAGGAAGATACTGTAAAAATACCCTTTTATTAAGTAAGGCTGCCATCGATTTTCAGAGTCATTCTTCAGAGTCTCTCTGTCAGTATGGACCTTCACCCATTTTCTCTATTATATATACAAATGATTTGGATACATTTCTGTCCTTTTTTATACAGTTTTAGTATGGTACATGCTCAATTCTTCCTTACTGATGCATGTGCAGCACAGGCACAGATGGCAGAGGGACACAGAGAGAGAAGGAAAGAGAAAGGGAGGGAAGAACAGAGTAGAGACAGAAGCAAAATAAAATAGAAAGAATATGTTCATTTGAAAAGGAAAAAACTTAATTTACTTCTTTTCCTGTTTCTTGCTGCAAAAGATAATATATGTTCTCTCTGTTTCTGTGTCTGTCTCTCTGTCTCTGTCTCTCTCCTTTCTCTGACGTTCTCAGTCTTTCTTTTTTATTCTTGCCATGGTGGTACTTAGCTATCATCCTATTGCATAGAAAGCTGAGGCAATAAAATATGTAATCCACACCAAAGCATTTATCCAACACGAAAAATGTCAGATGTTGTCCCTGTGGACAGTGTTTCCTGAGAATGGAAGTGTAGTCCCGGCCCTTCTAGTGTTTGGTGAATCTGCATCTTTTTTATTTAAATTAGAAATAATATTGTTTTACATGTCAATCCCAGTTCCCTCTCCCTCCCCTTCTCCTTGCTCCCACCAACCCCCTACCCCACACCCTTGCTGCTCCCCAGGGCGGGAGAGGCCTTCCATGGAGGATCTCCAAAGATTGTCATATCATTTGGAGCAAGGACTAGGCACTCCCCTGTGTGTCTTGGCTGAGAGATTCCCTCTATATGTTGTGGGCTCCCAAAGTCCCTTTGTGTACTAAGGATAAATATTGATCCACTACTAGAGGCCCTATAGATTAACCAGAACTCCAAACTGACATCAACATTCAAGGAGTCTGAGACAGTTCTATGCTGGTTTCCCAGCAATCAGTCTGTTGTCCATGAGCTCCCCCTTGTTCAAGTCAGCTGTTTCTGTGTGTTTCTCCTGCCTGGTCTTGACCCCTTTTTCACATCACTCCCCCCTCTCTGCAACTGGATTTCAGACTTCAGCTCGTACTGATTTCCAAACTGGCTGTATAAGTTGGCACTCCCACCAGCATTGGAGGAGTGTTCCTCTTTCTCCAAATCCTCTCCAGCATAAACTGTCATTGGTGTGTTTGATTTTAGCCATTCTGACAGGAGCAAGATGGTATCTCAGAGTTGTTTTGATTTCCATTTCTCCGATGGCTAAGAATGTTGAGTACTTTCTTATGTGTCTTTCAGCCATTTTGGATTCCTCTATTGAGAATTCTTTATTTAGTTCTGTACCCCACTTTTTAATTGGATTATTTGGTGTTTGGTGAATAGCTTCTTGAGTTTTTTATGTATTTTGGAAATCTGTCTGTCAGATGTGGGGTTAGTGAAGATACTTTCCCATTCTGTGGGCTGCCATTTTGTCAATGTTGACTGCATCCTTTGTCTTAAAAAGCTTCTCAGTTTCAGGAGGTCCTGTTTATTAATTGTGGATCTCAGTGTCTGTGCTCCTGGTGTTATGTTCTGGAAGCTGTCTCCTATACCAATTCATTTGAGGGTACAACCTATTTTCTATGAGGTTCATTGTGGCTGGATTTTATGTTGAGGTCTTTGATCCATTTGGACTTAAGCTTTGTGCATGGTGATAGATATGGCTCTATCTGCAGTCTGCTACATACCAGCATCCCGTTATGCCAGGACCATTTGTTAAAGGTGCTGTCTTTTTTCCATTGTATAATTTTAGCTTCTTTGTCAAAAATCAAGTGTTCATAGGTGTGTGGGTTAATAGTAAGTTTTTTTATTTGATTTGATCTTGAAGTCAGGGATGGTAATGCATCCAGACATTGCCTTATTGAACAGGGTTTTTTGATGATCCTTGGTCTTTTGTTTTTCCATATAAAGCTGAGAATTGTTCTTACAAAATCTGTGAATAATTGTGCCTGTATGTTGATGGGGATTGCTTTGAATATGTAGATTGCTTTTGACAAGATTGCTATTTTTACTATGTTGATCCCACCTATCCAAGAGCATAGGAGATCGTTCTATTTTCTGGTATCTTCTTTAAATTTATTTAAAGACTCGTGATTCTTGCTATACATGACTTTCACTTGTGTGGCCAGCATTACCCCAAGATGTTTTATGTTGTTTGTGGCTATTATAAAGTGTGATGTTTCTTTGATTTCTGATTTCTTTCTCAATCTATTATCTGTATATAGTAGGGGTACTGATTTTTGAGTTAATCTTGTATCCTGCCACATTCCTGGAGGTGTTTATCAGCTGTAGAAGTTCTTCGGGTCACTTATGTAAACTATCACACCATCTGCAAATAGTGACAGTTTGACTTCTTTTCCATTTTGTATCCATTTGATCTCCTATTTGTCTCATTTTAGAACTTCAAGTACAATATTGAAGAGGTATGGAGAGAGTAGACAGGCTTGTCTTGTTCCTGGTTTTAGAGGAATCACACTGAGTTTCCCTCCATTTATTTTGATGTTGGTAGTTGGTTTGCTGTATATTGCTTCTATTATATTTAGGCATCTTCTTGTTAACCCTGATCTCTCCAAGACATTTTTCATGAAGGGGTGTTGAATTTTGTCAAAGGCTTTTTCTGCATCTAGTGAGATGACCGTGTGATTTTTGTTTCTCAGTTTGTTTATATGGGGGATTACATTGATGGGTTTTCTTATGTTGAACCATCCCTGCTTCCCTGGGACAAAGCCTACTTGATCATAATGGATTATTTTTATGATATGTTCTTGGATTCTATTTGCCAGTAATTTATTCAGTATTTTTGCATCAACGTTAATGAGGGATATTGGTGTGTAGTTCTCTTTCTTAGTTGTGCCTTTGTGTGCCTTGGGTACCAATGTTATTGAAGCCTAGCAAAAAGAGTTTGGCATTAAAACTTAAAACTTCTGCTTCTATTGTGTGGAATAGTTTGAAGAGAATTGATATTAGCTGTTCTTTGAATTTATGGTAGAATTCTGCACTGAACCCATATGTCCCTGGAATATTTTGGTTGGGATACTTTTGATGGATGCTTATATTTCATTAGGGGTTACAGATCTATTAAAATTGGTTATCTATTTTAGATTTAATTTAAATAAGTGATATCTATGCAGAAAATTGTCCATTTCCTTTTTTCTGAATTTTGAAGACTACATGTTTTCAAACTACCCTGATGATTCTCTTAATTCCCTGAATGTGTATTACTATAATCCCCCTTTCATTTCTGATTTTGTTAATTTGCATGATCACTCTCAACTATTTGATAAGTTTTGATAAAGGTTTGTCTATCTTGTTGATTTTCCCCAAGAACCAACTCTTCCAACTGTATTGATTTCCTAGTTTCTATTTTATTTCAGCTCTCAATTTGATTATTTCCTGGAATCTACTCATCTGGGGTGAATTTGCTTCTGTTTGTTCTTAGAACTCTCAATTGTGCTGTTAATTTTCTATTGTGACTATTCTCCAGTTTCTTCATGTGGGCACTTATTGTTATGAACTTTCCTCTGAAAAGAAGGTATAATCTTTTGTGTTTGGATAGAATGTTGTACAGATGTCTGCTAATCCCAATTGTGTCATGTCTTCTATTAATTCTTTTGTTTCTTTGATAATTTTCTGTCTGGTGGTCCTGTCTAGTGTTGAGAGCGGGGTGTTTAACTTTCCTTCTACAAATGTGTGAGGTTTTATGTGTGATTTGAGTTTCAGTAATTTTTCTTTTACAAATGTGGATGTCTTTGCATTTGGGGCATCGATTTTCAAATTTGAGACTTCATCTTGATGGATTTCTCCTGTGGATAATATGGAATAACCTTCTCTGTCTCTTTTGATTGATTTTAGTTTAAAGTCTAATTTGTTAGATATTAGGGTTGCTATCCCCACTTGTTTCTTGGGTTCATTTGATTGGAAAATCTTTTCCCAACCCTTAACTCTGAGGTAACATCTGAGCTTGACATTGAAGTGTGTTTCTTGTATGCAGCATAAGGATGGATTCTGTCTTTGTAGTCTATGTCTGTTAGCCTATATCTTTTTATAGGCGAGTTAAAACTATTAATATTGAGGGAAATTAATGACCATTGAGTGTTCATTCTTGTTTGTTTTGGATTTTTTTGATGGTTGTGGAATTGTGTGTGAATTTCCATCCCTTTTTTCTTTTGGCTGTTGGTAAATTAAGATTATCTATTGCCTATGTTTTTCTGGTTGTAGTTAACTTCCTTCGTTTGGAGTTTTCATTCCATAACTTTCTGTAGGGCTGAACTGGTGGATATTTATGGTTTAAATCTGATTTTGTCATAGAATATATTGTTTGTTTTCTCTATCTATAGTAATTGAAAGCTTTCCTGGGTATGGTAGTTTGGGCTGGCACCCATGGTCTCTTAATGTTGGTAGAATGTCTATCCAGGACCTTCTGGTTTTCAGAGTTTTCATGGAGAAGTCAGGTTTAATGCTGATAGTTTTGCCTTTATATGTTACTTAGCCTTTTTCCATAGCTGATTTTAATATTCTTCCTTTACTATGTATGCTTGCAGTTTTGATTATTGTGTGGCAAGGAGAATTTTAGTTGTCTAATCTATTTGATGTTCTGGGATGTCTTCCTTTAGGTTGGGAATGTTTTGTTCCATGATTTTGTTGAATATGTTGGTTCTTCACCTTCTTCTATACCTATTACTCTTAGGGTTGATTTTCTTGTGTTGTTCCATATTTCATGGTGAATATACATCATCTTTTTATTTATTTGTTTTTTTCTTCTACTAACTTTGCATCTAGAAGTAAGGCAGTTAAATTTTATATCAGGCTTTCATCTCACTATGGTAACTGCAAGTGTTTAAAGTATATGAATGCCATCATTATCTTAAAATTACAACTTTGTATATTCTGACCTGGTGACAGGATGTATTCCTATCATCCGAATAATCATCTGTAAACACACACATACACACAAACAAACACACACACACAAACAAACACACACACACACAGACAGGGGTGGGGGAATTATTGAATGAAGACAACAAAGAAATGTGACCAAGCACCTTTCATATTCCTAACAGGTTGAGAGATATCCTGAATGTGCTTTGAATGCATGGGATGATATTTAGAATGTCACTTTTTATTTCCTGTGGTGTTACTTTAAATTTAATTAGAAAATATACATGATATCAGTAATACCTGCCAGAGCTGATATATGTTTATAGATATAACTTGCATATTTCCCTCAGAAAGAACACTTTGGAAACTTTATCTTCAATGCCACTGAGTTTTGAGGAAAATCCTATTTTAGGTGCACATTCCTTTTCCTCTCTTCTGCTCTTTTGCTCCATAATGTCTCTGCAGTCAATGGAAGCTACACCTTTATGGCGATTTTCCTACTTACTTTGTATTATTATAACACCATCTGAGAGATTTATAAGCATTATTAAATTATTTAGCAGTTGTGGTAGGTAAAATCCAAAGGTGAGAGAACAGCAATATGTAGAGAAATAGCAAATGATGGCAATCAAAGCCTTATGGATTTCGCAATGACTATGTATCCATTTCTGATATGGAAGATGTTAGGTTTCATATACCACAACAGTTTTATGGAGGCACAAGTTTCCAGCACCCACTCTAAGGGTCACAAACAAGTAATATCTGTGATAGACTATCTTCTATGGGTCATCACTTATTTACTGCATCACTTAACATTTGATATTTTTGTAGCTTTGAAGTGACACACTTAAAATAACCCTAGTAAAGCTATAGGAAGTCATTGTCAAGAAAATTTTGATTACACTCCAACAATGTATTCACATTGATGAATATCCATGTCATACCCAGAATATTTGTTGTCATTGCCTCATATAATTCCTGTTCTGGTAAATCTTGAGAAGTGCAGAGATTTCAGCTTTCACAAATTAGTAGAATCAATATTTAAAATTAAAGAACTTTCTGGCAGCCACTATTTAGATATTTAAAATTAAAGAACTTTCTGGCAGCCACTATTTAGAGATAGCTATTTTTCCATCCCTAAGGGAACTGTATCATTACATGGTATGTAAAAAAATTATGTTATTGACTCATTTATTTTCTGTCCTCATTTGCTAGTGATAACTGATATAGTATGTTATTTGTATTGTAGATTTCCTTCTAACAGGAACACCTTTCTCATATGTTATCATGAAGAGGAGCAGGACACACAGGTACATTTATGTTCCTTTGCTGACTCCGGTGAGCATCTGTTTTTTTTTAAGATCAACATAGTCAGATATGGGAATCTATTCATCATAATGGGTTTGATAATACAGAATAATCTCACTCAGTGATCCTTTTTCATCTTGGCATGAATGGGAATTTATCTTTTTCAGCACGGTGTTGAAAATGGATGATCTGAATCTATTTTCCAATGTCACACCATTTCTTATTACTTCCTGAGGAATAGCAAATACATGAAAATATTTTTCAAAATACGGCCTGACCTATATAAAGCTTATTAGTTAAAATTATATAGGTAGTCCTTGGTCCTACTGCAATTAGGGAACTGACATGATGTTCCAGTGCTACACTGCCACTAATGGTTACAAAAGGTGCAGTATTAGGGCCAGAGCCAGAAATCTTGGTGGTATCCTGTAAACACACTGCTGCATGAACGATTCTCATCTGATTGGCCATTCCTTCCACCCACAGCCAGGACATCATCAGGGCCTAAGCTGCTCCCAGGGGCCATATCTAGGGTCAATATTCAAGCTGTAGGTAGGGTCTGTGTTGATGTCTGTGGCCAGAGGCACCCCAGGTGGCCTTCAGGAATCATGTGAGATGTAATCATATGACTATACTAAGCCATTTCTACCCTTTGCTGTCCTAGGAAAGCTGGCCTTGCCTCTTGCTGCTCACTCTAGCAAGATAACTGGCCCATGCACACAGGAGAGAGGGTTCTCACCCCTAACCACAGGAAAAGATGAACCTATCCTGAGGGCTGACTCTGCCACCTCACTCACGGTGTGTGGCCCCACTGGCTTGATCTGAACTGATTAGCTAACACCCAGGTCCACAACTGGTCATTGGGGTGACCCACCCTAGAATCTACCCACCTATGTCCTGCTTGAGCTTGTGAAGGAACTTGTCCTGGAAAACGACACCCACAAGATCTCCAATACATTGGATACTCCAGACAAGCTCTGGTGAAGACCCATTAAGGATGGTGTACCAAAAACCAGAGGCCTTGAACCAGACCAATGACTCATTGTAATGGACAGTTGTCAGTCAAGCTGATGGGACAAAGGGATATGCTGTAGGGCACACTGAAGCCTTCAGTGCCATCATAACGGATAAAGAGGTGGCAGAGGTTTTGCTGTTTCCAGTATGGTTTTAAGTTCTGTTTTGTTTTGGTATTTACTTTTCTTTGTTGTTCTGGCTTTTGTTTGCTTGCTTACTTACTTAGCTTTGTTTTCTTTCATGGGGGCCATGCAAGAAGAATCAGATTGGAATATGGAGTGACTGGGAGGTGAACAGAATTGGGGTACATGATGTGAAACCCCCAAATATTCAATAAAGAAGTTTAAAAAATGATTTAAGTAGGCCATAAAGTTACATGGACTTAAAGTATGTATCTTGGAACAAAGACAAAACATAGGAGGATAGGTACTGGAGATAGTCATTAAACTAAAGAGAATTTGATTTCTGGTGTGCTTTGGTTATACAGAGCCACATGAAAACCTAAGGTGACTGAGAGACATGTAAAACCTAAAAGTCATTTTGATTGAGTCACATTGTATCCTTAATGAAATATTAACCAGTTGTACTTTAAGGGATATATCAGAGCAAGGCCTTGAGAAAAACATCTAAAATTTTTATATTGATATAATTGAGAAAGAAACGGACACCAGTAATTGAGTAGCAAAACAACTGTGAGTGTAACTACAAGGCGGGAACACCAATTTAAGAATGGAAATCTACCTATGTGGTAGTAGTGCACATCTTTAATACCACCACTCAGGAGGCAGAGACAGACAGATCTCTGTGAGTTTGACGCCAGCCTGGTCTGTCTACTGAGTGAGTTCTAGGTCAGCCTCCAAAGCTACATAGAAACCCTGTCTCAGAAAAAAACAAAGACTGAAAATCTTGGTTTTTTTGTTTTCAGAGCTGATACTTCTACTTATAATGGCTGGTTTTTATAGCAACTTGACACAACTAATGTAATCAGAGAGGGGGGAGCTTCAGTTGAGAGATTCTTCCATAAGATACAGATGTAAAACCTTTGCTGAATTAGTGATCAATAAGGGAGTGCCAAGCCCGTTGTTTATAATGCCATTCTTAAACTAGTGGTTCTGAGTCTATAAGAAATCAGGCTGAGAAAGCAATGTAGGGAAAACCTGAAAGCAGCACTCCTCCATGGCCCCTGCATCAAGTCCTGCCTACAGGGTACTGCCCAGCTTGAGTTCCTGACTTGACATCCTTTGCTAATGTACAGTGATATGGAAGTGTGTTGGCCAAATAAACACTTCCCTCCCAAACTTGCTTTTTGGTCATGATTTTGTTGTTGTTTTCAGCAATAGAACCCCTGTCTAAGACATTAATTAACCTAAGGCCTGATGTGAAATTTGTGAAAAACATTTCAGTCACCTCCATTATACAGCATCTAGCATCCAGATGGGTCTTGAATGTTTCATCGTAATGGGTCCTCCCTGCCTTCCTTGCATCAGTCCTTCTATTCATCAGTGACATCTGGAACTACACATCCAGGAAGTTGGCAGTAAATATTTCAAACAATTGAACAGAATTTTTCTGGGAATCTTCTCTTACATGGTCTGATGGAAACAACCTGATACTTACAAGTTATTGGTGAGTAAAACCCCAGATCATCGATATTAAGCAATTAAGAGTAAAATTTATCTATGTGATGCCTATGTCCCAAGTAAATAGTGGCTTTAGAAATATGGGACACCCTGAAACCCTTAAGGGTAGCCAACGTGTGCTTGAATAATCTATATTGTTTGAGAGAGAATTTTAGGAAAACAAAACAACAAATCTGCTTCACATTACTGTTACAAATAACTTGAGGTAATCAAGCTATAAAACATCAGTTTTTAAATTGTAGTTTGGAAGATGTTAGACAAGGATAAGTTAGCCCACATATTTGGGCCTCTGGCAAAGAAGTCTTTCTTATGTGGGTATGTAGCAGGCATTCCTACTTATTTCATGTCCAGAGAAACAAAAGGCTACTAAGAGAGACAGGCTTATACAATAAACTCAAGTGCATATCATAATTACATAAAGAATTCCTATTAAGATCCAACTCTTCAGAGACCTCTCCATAGTCCTCAGTACTGATGAGTAAGTCTATATAGCACATGGACTTTTAGGGTTAATCATTATAGCAGTGAGTGATCCTCAAACAACTGTGTAGAATAAATGATAAAAAACTCAGAGACAGATATTGGGGTTCAAGCTGAAGATGAGAAAAGCAAAGCAGCCAGCCCCTAGAGAGTTATCACCTCTACCAATGATCAGATTGATGGGGTGATCATGACCTCTGAATGCCTAGACTTCAATGAGTTCCTGTCTCTTCCAGCCTTTTATTTCTCTCTCTGACCAGCCACATCATTCCTGTCTCCACCTCCCTAGTGCTGGAGTTAAAGGTATGAGTTCAATTTCTCTTTTAGACTGATTCATTCCAATATAGTGCATGGTGGCCAAGAACTCACAGAGATCTATCTGACTCTGTCTCCTGAGTGCTGGAATTAAAGTTATATACCACCCCTATCCTATCTGGCCTCTTTGGTTGCAACTAGCTTTGCATTATGATCTCCAGGCAAGATGTATTAAATAATAAACAAAATATCACCACAATTCCCTTTTCCTTCTAATACAAGAGAGAAAGTTATAACTACAATAAAAACATACAATATATACAAGCCATAAAGTACATCAACAATGTCTAATCCATTTGCATTTGACAAATTTATAGAAAATACCGTGTATCTGCCTGTCTTGGTGAGTCCAAAATGTTGTACCTAATTCACTTTCTATTCTAATTTACATTATCAAATTATCTTTTAATGCTTTTCAACCTTTTACACCTTATACTTTTATAGTGGGTTTCTTTTCTGAGTCTTGTAAACAAGGAAAACTGTAACTACAACTTCCTAATCTTCAAGTCCCTCAGAGACCCAAGAAGGAAATAATATTAAATGAGTAAACAGGAAGTATGAGCAGGCAAATTAAAAATATGTGAGAAATAACCAGAACAGCCAGATGTCTGGGTAGTCACCCAAGGTTCTTATGCAATTTTGAGGCATCTATGTTGCCTAAAGGCCTAGAATATTCAACAGACTTTTCTGTGAAGTAGGGTTATTGAAGGGCTACCCTACTTTGTGTTGGTAAAGTTCAACAGTCCTTTTTGTGTGTCCTGCTTGTCCAATTTGGATGTGCTACTGTCAGTGAACTGAGTTGTAGCACTTTTTATCAGAGAACTAGCACATAGCCATGAGTGGCAACCTGGGAGAGGATGTAGGGAAAGGCAACAGTCTATGGCATGGGGAAAGAGTAAGAGACAGAGAGAGAGGGAGATGGGGGAGCTGTCTGAAAAATGCACATGGGATTGTTAAGGAGGTGTTTAAACAGAGCCTGCAAATTTAAGGCAGATAATTCCTGGGGCATTTGAAGCCCAGGTGATTCTATAATTTATGTGGCATCTGGCGACTGTTTTAGAGAAGCTACAACAGGAAAATCTCAAACTCATTCATAAGTTTGGGGAAAAAAAAGAAAAGAAAATCTAGGTGACTTGACAGTGACACCAGTGGGAGCCCCATGTTGGGTACCAATGTGTAGCATGAATAATAAAACCCAAGAGACAGATATTTGGGTTCAAGCTGAAGATCAGAATAGCAAAGCAGCTAGCCACTAGAGAGCTTTCACCTCTACCAGTGCTCTGACATAAAGGGCAATTGCCCGGAACCTCAGCCTCTCCTGACTGCACTGCTGGTCAGACTCACTGAGACTGCTATATATTCTTGTTCCTCACACTTTATTTTCCTCTCTCTGCCTAGCCATGTCACTCCTGCCTCTGTCACCTAGTGTTGGGATTAAAGGTGCTAACTCTGTTTCTCCTGTAGAATAATTTACAGCCTGGGCTTCATGAATTAACAGGGATCCATCTTCCTCTGTTTCCTGAGTGCTGGGATTAAAGGTGTGAACCACCACTGCCTGGCATCTGTTGGTGTGGGTAGCCTTGCACTCTGATCTTCAGGGAAACTTTATTAGATCATAAACAAAATATCATGATACAACTGCAATCATATCAGCCAAATTTTATCATGTAATCAGCAAAGAAAACAGGTAAGAATGAAAAGTGCATTTAAAATCACATAGAGAGTTTAAGAACCCATATACTAGAATATGGAAGGAAATAAAACTGAATTAGTCTAACTGTAGGGCAATAATGTCTCCAAAAAGAGTTACACTAAGTATAATCTTTCCTCAAACTGTATTCAAAGTAGCTGAAAATTCTCTTTTCACACAAAATTTCACCATGCAATTACTTCAGTGGGAAGATAATAAATTTGCAACCTTGATAGACAATGGAATATTTTGAAGTTCTCTTGCTTATTAAAAATCTTAGTTTAGAAGTTATATTAAACTAAACACATTGCCAAATTAATAATGAGAAAATTAACAATATATAGGAAGGTTGAAAATGATGAAAACATATTTTACAAGGCCTCAGATTAAATAAATACATCCACATCACAAAATCTATGTTTGAATAGTCTCATTTCTATAAGGACCTTACATGCATGGTTAACAATAGGCTTCTCAGTGGACTACTTGTCAGTTTGCATGATTCATTTTAAAGTCTACTTTAAAAATATAGAATCATTTCTTTTCAGTTTTTCATAGTCAATGTCTTTTAAACAAACCCTATTTTTCATCCTTAAAGTGTCTTTTTTAAAATTAGTTTCCGAAAGACAATTTAAAACATTTTTTACTGGGGTCTGGAGACTGAAACCAGCTGTTAATTTCCTACTGCTTTTCAGGGTACCTGAGGTATATTTTTAGCATCCATCATGAGTATTTCACAATTACACTACTTTACACTAAAGTATCTCTTATTCTCTTATGGACTCTGTGTATACCTGTATACAATGTATACCATGTTCACATTTGCACAAACACAAAAACTCAGACACACACACACAAATAATAAATAAACCTTAAAATACAAATATCTGAAGTTTTTGCTATACAATCAAAATTATATTCATCTTATTACATTTGTCAGGACATGTTTAGTAAGTTTATGTTAAATACTGCATTTGGTTTCTACGAAGTACTTATTTCATTGTTCTACACTTTTGTAAAATAATGTTATTGTATAATGTTAATATGTGTCACTCATTGGTTTAATAATAAGCTAATATGGGTGCTGGTGGCCCATGCCTTTATTCCCAGTACTTGGGATGCAGAGGCAAGCAGATCTCTGTGAGTTCAAGGTCAGGTTGCTCTACAGAGCTAGCTCCAGGAAAGCTGGGGCTGTTATTCAGAGTAACCCTGCCTCAACAAACAAACAAATAGACAAACAAACAAACA